GCAATAATGTTGCGTAATGTCATTATTTTTACAATATTTTTAGGTTTTGGTTTTGTTTTAAAACATTCGTGGCAGAGTGGTACATCCAAGCTGTTGGAATACAGAGATTTTTTATTTTTCCCCCCAGATTTACCACTATTTTACTATTACTAACATCATATATAACCTCAGAAGACATGGATTATCCACTGGTTGTGGATAGTAAATTAAATCTCTTTTGCACTGTAGACATTTCGACCCTCAGTTCCTGTCACCGCCATTATAAAGAAATACATTGAAAATTGTGTGAATTATGAGAAATTTCTTTTTAATAAAGCAGTTTCACTATAAAAAACTGTGTGTTAGAATAACATCACTTTTATTACTTTTGTTTAAGTTATAATTTATTTGAAATAATCATCACTATGAGCTCTTCTTCGGCCAAGCAGTTTAGTTCATTAATAATGGGATGTGGTTACCAAGCAACAACAATCAAAGATTAATCCTTGAACAGCACCATGACATCACTACCAGCAAGTACTTAAACATGTATTGATAGTATTGATGAATCCCTAATGTCTACCTATATAGAAATACTATATTTATTGAAAATATATAACAATATACTTCATTTTCATAGAGTGGGTGTAAGATTTTACAGCACAACTAATAACAGCGCTGTAGAAAATATATATTTAACAAAGCTCTTAAAACTAGACGTTTTTGTGTAGAAAAACTGCTTCAAAATAAAAGTGCATTGTGATTTCTGTCCACTGTTATCGGCCCTTACTCGTTTAAATAAATTACATTTTATCACGGAAGGAAAAGCATTTTTTTCCTTCATATAAAGAGACTTTTGAGCTTTTGAGCAAGGTCTGCAATTATCATTATAATAATAATAATAATTATTATTGTTGTGAAAGCGTGAAAAATGTGGAAACGATCAAAATATTTATGATGTATAAACTGGAAGTGAACTAGATTTTTCATTTTTCTATTGTGGCAGTTGTACCTCAGTGTTTGATATGAAGAAACCTGCAGTTGCTGTCTGTTCTATCTCAGCATAGCAGTCTTTGTGGAGAGGTGTGAAGTGTTTTCACAGCGAGGGGTTCCCTTTCCTCCTCTTTCATCCCTCTTTGCTCGCTAGCAGCTCAAAACAGTCACCACTTTTCACTCACAGAGAGACAACAGTGTGCTAGTTAACCAGATACCAAAGTTACAGGGGCAAATTTGATTATATTAAATAAAAAATATCTTATTTGATTTCCACTCTGCTGGTGAAATGGCCACTAGGGGGCCTGCAAAAAGAGGCCACTACGTTATTCATGATCTTAGCAGCTGACAAGTGCATAGAAAGTGTGCACAAAGTGGAGTGTGTGCTGTTGAGTGTGTGTGTGTGTGTGATGTGAGGGCCGTTCTGGGTGCAGTTCGTGTGTCCCATTTCAAGCACAGCGACACACACTCGCGCTTCAGTTTCTCACTTTGCTCTAATTGAATGTCACTTGCTTTCTGAAATGCTGTAAGTTCTGTAATCAGGTCATTTGCATTGCGCTGAGATCGGCTGACCTTTTGCTTTTGCCAATAATTACAGCAGAGATCATGTCAGAGCGGCTCTGAGGCGAAGCGCGGAGATGCTGCAGGAAAAGGTTAGCGCTGAGCTTATTTCTGGAGCTCATGAAATGATGAAATGTCATTAGAGTTTCCTGAAGTGCGGGCTGAGCTAGCGGTGGACACGGACGGGCAGTGGGGTATTATTTCTGTTAACGTAGACCTGAAGATCTGTGACTTGATCTGATTTTAGACACACTGTGTGGATCTCACAGTGGGAGGGGCTTGTGTGAGCTGTAACGGAGAACATGAACACATGAACATATGTGTGTGTGTGTGTGTGTATTATGGCCTGTGGATTATGAACTATAGCACTACTACCGAGGATGATAATAATAATAATAAGAAGAAGAACAACAACAACAAAACAGCAATAATAATAATAATAATAATAATAATAATAATAATAATGATAATAGTTGTAGTAGTAGTAGTATTGCTGTTATCATGCATCATTGTTATTATTTGCTCTATTATTTCTACTGATATTTTTATTTAATAGACTTGGTGTAGATGGAAAAATCCTCATCAAATTATAGTTCATTATTTCTGTTTAGGTCGTCATTAGCAACTGGCAAATTTCTCATGTAAACAAAGGCGAAAACAATACAATTCTTGCCTTTGGAATCAGTGAAATATTTACCAATAATGCTATGTTTAGATTGTTTTCAGTAGGCAGTCGACATTCAACCAGATATTCCAAAAACCGGCCACTGTTAGTGGTGAGCAGTGTCCTTCAGCGGTCTGTGAAACGTTCCATAACAAGTTCAATTTTGCCAACTTTTGCCATCGACTGCAGAATAGACCAAATGTTTTTGAAATTTTGGGCTTTTTTCACCCTTTTTTCTTCACAAAGAAGTCTTTTGCCAATTCCGCCCACTAGCTTGGTCTCCTCTATCTAACAATGCTACCGAGCTGGGAGGGTGAAGTCTAGCACACGTTTCTCCACACATAAAGTCATTCACAGCATCTTTGCAAACAACCTGTAACACAACATTATTGGACAGCCAAACACACTTATAGCAGGAAACTAAACATGCCAATTATGTTACTATAGCCAACGTTGGCTAACATCACACTGAGTGGTGGGGCAGAGGGACCATCCTGCCCACCCAGTGAGAGCTCTCTTGGACTCCAGGCCATAGATGGTTGTGGCATCATCGGCGATCAAACTCATGATCTCCTGACAGAAGAGCCACGTCTCATTGCTGAAGTTGGCATTAAATAATAGAGTTTTTTTTCTTTTTTCTGCCTTAAATAAACAATCATCACTGCTGAGGCTCAGGAAAAACATGCATTTTCACTGGTGACTCTGTCACTACAACAGGGTTTGGTGGTCATGTGCTGCTATGAGGCATGTAACAACATTTAAACGCTTTGTCCACTTGGGAGATAATGCATATCCATTAAGTGTAAACACAGAGACTATGATCCAGTTTCCGTCCTGGTAATATGCTCATTTTAAACACGGACTATACGACGGTTCTTGTTTATGTGCATTCTTATTAAAATTAAGCTTCAGAATTAGTGTATCGATTCTGTATTCCAGCAATATCGTATTGTATAAAATACAAATAAATAAATACATAAATAAATAAATTTCATGGCATGATGTCATTCGCGATACCACAGTGTTCTATTGCTTTTATACAACATTTCTGCAAAATAAAGTAAAAAGTAAAGCATAAGAAGCCCTGAACATTGCATCAAATGTGTCTGAATATTGTCAGTTTATTTCCTCTAAAAAAAGTAGTGGCCTGTCACAATATCAGGTTCAGCTCAGCTTTTCCAGTATTTGCCATTTGCAGTCGGTTCCTTTAATTCCAGTTTGTTTATTTGTTTTGTCTTCACTGCTGACGACTGAAAAGCCGTCTTAGGAGCAGCAGCAGGTTCAGAATTTGATGTAGTCCTGCTGTCGGAATCTGACCAAACTGGCTGCAAGTCAAATATTGTCTAATGTCTGTTTTTGTATGCAATTTTCTTTGCAATTGGTTGGCATCAGACTGTGCCGTCAGAACCAAATGTTATATATGATTAATACTTGCACAAGTCAAAACAGTACTGTGTTGACGTGGTATCAAAGACCGTACTGGACTTCGAACTAGCCTCAACCTGTAAATTCACAACTTTACGTCTTTACAAGGACCATCCAGAGCTCACTGTGTGCATCAGCGTCTACCAAAGAACCAACAGAACCAACATGAACTCCAGCTCTTAAACCAGTGAACTGTATCTTGCACATACAATAAATTCTGCTAAATTAATTTTCATTCCCAGAGGCACCAAATCAAACACCTCTTGTGTTTATCATGTTACATGATGCCTCTTTTTTTCCATAATCTCCACCAGCGCGTTTTAAAAAGGCAAAAGTATCTGGATTTATGGTTTTGTAGATGTAGTTGATGCTGCCGTCATCCTGTAGAAGGTAACATCTCACGCTGACTGATTTTACTGCGCAGAGTCGTGTTTAACACGATTTCTCACGCGATTCCTGCATTTCTCTCCATTCACACCTCTGCAGGAGAGCGTGCTGTCGCTTTACCGTCTTCATGCATGTGTTTGTGCTGTGACTAAATGAATTCTTGTATATTTGTGCCACAGTTGCATAAAATTCAAATAAGCCACATAGAAAAAAAAATCACTACATTCTATTTGACCTGTTTTAAATTGAAAATGGTACAAAAACATGATATTTGATGTTTTACCTTATAAACTTTACTGTCGAGAACACGTTCAACATATTCCATGCCCATGTATGATTACATTACCCCTTTTAAAAAGCTTTCAGGAACACGTTCCTAGTTTTAAAAAGCTTTTTTGGAAGCTTCCATTTCAGAATGAGCAAAAAACAATGAGGTTAAGAAGATCAGATTAAATAAAACATGAATTATATCGTCTTTGTACTGACTTTGTTTAAGTGCAGGTCCAGGTGGATTTACAAATCACTGCTTTCTGTTTTTATTGCTTTTCACATTCTGTCCCAACTCATTTGGAATTGGGGTTGTAGATATAGATAGAAACTTCCAATAATGTCTTTGTTTAATAAACGTATAATAATCTCATTGTTAATGCAGGGTTGCAGCATCACATGCAACCTTAAATAACACTGGTTTGGCAGATGTGTGATCAAATGTAGGTGAATATTTACAATTTACATATGATATAAAATGAGGTAACGATATAAAAACAATGCCACATGTATATTATGCATGTTCTGTTCTTCTCTCGTCAACAACAGTGATAATAATCCTTATTAATGCTTATTTTTCAGTAAGTGCTATAAATTATTCAGTACCTTAGCCCTCAGGGTTTAAAGGTTTTCTCTTTTGTGTATAACCTGAGGAAAGTTAATGAGGGGGAGGAGCCAGGTACTAACGAACAGGGCTCTGTTTCTCTCTCTCTGTTCTTTTTAGTCTCAGCGGCGCGTCACGTTCCACCTGCCGGACGGCTCTCAGGAGAGCTGCAGCGACAGTGGTCTGGGGGAGCACGAGCCGGTGGGTGGCGGCCCCCTGCTGACACACCCGCTTCCCCTGGTGCAGCCGCAGGACGACTTCTATGAACAGGCCTCTCCGGACAAGAGGACTGAAGCTGACGGCAACTCTGACCCCAACTCAGGTGAGTCAGCTCAGTCAGCTTTTTATTTCTGCCCAGCAGAGGGGGGTGATGAAAAGAAAGCAGAAATGCATTCATCGAAAAACAATGAAATTTCTATGAAATGAAACTTCTAGCAGGTGCAAGAACATATTTAGATGCTCAAGTTGGTTCTTCAGTGGAAGATTCTCCTCCATCTTTGCTAAGACTTGCAGTTGAAGTTAACGTTACTGAGAAACTGTCAGACTTACGGAAACACAATTTAGTGAATCGTTTGCTCTTCCAGATGAGGATAAAGTCACCATGAGCTTCTACATCACCACGAAGTGTGCCAGAATATCGCTGCTGAACAAAACCTCGTATCTCCAAAATAATAACTTTACAGGAGAAGGAAAAAACACACTTTACTTTTAATGTAAGTCAATGGAACCAGAATTTTTTCATAGTCATTTTAGGTTGTTTCTTTTGGTCTATTCATCATGAAATTTACACACAATGTAAAGGAGAACAGGCATTTTCAAATTATGACAACAACTGAAAAACAGTTGGTAAATTGGAGATACGAGGTTTTGTTCCGACAGCAGCGAAATGAAACAGAACAATGTGTGGATCTGTGAATTGCTGCTTTAAGAATGATCGCTTGTGAAGATATTGCTAAGGTAGTTTATCTAGCTGTGTATCTAGCACTAAAATTTTTGGCCTGTTTGCTAATTTTTCCTACTTGCAAACGTGAGTATACGTAAACTTTACCTTCAAGTGATTTATAGCTGGTAACATGTTTGGAAAAACAATTCTGGTCCTCTATTTTTGAGACAATCTCCTAAATTTGCAACAAAGAGATCATTCCTGGCCCAAAAATTGCTATATTTGGTGTGACCCCTGACAGGTGGCAATTCCAGCTGCCCATTCCGATGCCATAGCCTTTGCATCCTTACTGGCTCGACGCCTTATTTTATCTAATTGGAAGTCAGCTACCCCCCCTACACACATGCAATGGGTAGGAGAGTTGATGGCATATTTAAAGCTCGAAAAGCTGAAATACTCAACCAGGGGATCCACGCAAAGGTTCCATAAGGTTTGGAAACCATGTTTAGACTCCTTTAACTCTGCGTTTCCCTTCTAAAGATACTGGTAAATAGAACTATGTATTTAGTCTTTATTCATGGACAATCGCTGGAATAGGGGTTTTTATTTATTTGTTTTTTTCTCCTTTCTTCTTGTATGTGTGTTTGCGTAGGTGTGGTCTTGTTTATTGTACGATCGTACGTGTTGCACGTTGCTTACATTCAAAAAGTCACTAAAAATATTTGAACAATAACAACATGTTTGGAAAAACGTAACATCATTAAACGTTAAATTTAAACTGATAGCTCGTTAGTTTGGCATCTTACTAACATTGTCCAAATCGTAAAGATGTACATAATACAAACAGCTTTCTTTGTGCTTTTAGTAAAATATTGAGCTGCGATCGTCCACTGAAACTGTCTTCTCCCCCACTATGAGGAAAGAGTTAAGGTTAGTGGTCAGTAACGAGGTTCTACATGTAATTATGACTTGAAGAGACGAATACAAGATCGGGAGCTTGTATTTACAATAATTCCGTTGCACACAAAGGCAGCCAGTTTAGCAGCATCGCCGAAAATAAAAGGAAAGCAGGAAAAATGGTGCTGTGTTTGTCTCTTGCGTCGCAGTCTGTCTGGAGCATGTGTTTATTGTGTTTCTGTCCATCGAGCCGTTCTCAGGAGCTATGCAAAAGCCCTCCTCTGTGATTGGTCCAAAGTGTCTGAAAGTGTGCCAGATCATGTGGTAGTGACTGATTCAGAGACACGGTCTAAATCCTCCAATCTTTAGCAGCGCCCGCACACCTGCTTTGTCTCAGCCCGATGAATAAATGAAATCCAATAACACAGGAGAGAAAGAGCTGGAGAGAGAACGAGGGAAGGAAGGAGGGAGGCAGTTCTGAGTGAGCGGCATGAAAATTGTACTTTGTAATATGTGCAGTGTTTATACTATGTGCAGTAATTACACTGTGGCAAAGGAGAAACTGTGTTTTATCCCTTTTACACACTTGCACACCGAGTTGCCAGTTTATTAGAAACACCTACGTTGTACGTGGATCCATTGACCATTTTATCAGAAACACCACTGTATAGGCCCACTGAAGTGTGCTGTTATAGATTGTAGCCCATGCGCTGCTATACAGTTTACAACCCCGCTCTACCTCATCCATCAGTTTGCTGTCGGTGTCCAGATACTATTCAGCTGGTGGACAGTTCTCAGCGCAGCACTGAGAGGTGGTGCACAGCAGTGTTGCTGGCGTCAGTGTCACTGCAAGGTTGACAGCGGTCCACCACCCAAAAATATCCAGCCAAGAGCGGCTCTGGGATTAGAAACTGACCATTGATGAAGGGCAAGAGGACGGCACAAATGACGCACCAACAGATGGGCTACAGTCTGTAATCGTGAACCTACAAAGTGCACCTATGTTAAACGTGTTTCCAATAAAAAGGCCAATGAGTGTGGGTAGGACTGACCACTCAGTGTCTGAGTTCAGCTGAATTGAAAATACAGATTAAGGGGGAGTCTCCATTGGGGTTGCCAAGTCCAGAGAAAATCTTCAGCTTGAAGTCTACCTTAAAGGGGAATTCCACCAATGTTTTAATATCAATGATTAAATCATTGAGATGTAAATAAGTCATTCAGAGTGGTTTGAAATGAAATGATTTGTTTTAGAGAAACTTACCAATTCTGATTTCTTTACAGTGGTGGTGCTGGCAACCAGGGGTAACACAAATAGAGCCACCCAAAACCACCAGTGAACCTACACGTGTCTAAGCTTGAGAATGGTAAAATAGTAGGTAATCAGAAATTTTGGAAAAGCTATAAAAGAAAAAAAGAAAAAAAAAGAAAAAATCAAATTTCTACTTAGACTAAATGCAGTCGATCAGCCATAATTTTGCTTCTTTAGTTTAGAATTGAAGCTATTTAGTTTAGAACTGAGGCTAACATTGCTAACAAACACTAGAACCCAGTGGTCACCCAAATAGCCCAAATGATTCCTATACAAATACATCCCCAAAACTTTTCTCAACCCGTATTCAGGTCTTATTTCAGGTTGCACAGGTGGGCTGATGTGGTTTAAAACACAAATGACTGTGATAGTGTGAGCTATGAAAATGAATTAAAATTGTCTGTATTTGTTTTTTCACTGCACAACTCATGTAAAGCCCTCCCAACAGACACTGAAACTAGCCCGGAATTTCGACTGTCCACTCACAGTCTCTTCTTGCACTGAACCATCTTTTTATCAACTTGTGTTGACAAAACCCGGTGTGAATATTCTTTATCTCCTTATCAAAAATTGATTTTAAAAGTCTCAGTACCACATTTTGGAATTAAACAGTTTGATGTAAACATTGTTAAGTTCACTCTCCTGACCTCCATATATGGAAGCTAAGCTACATAAACAGCCCATTACATATTAAATGTTTTTGTAAAGTTGTAAAAAACAAAACCATTAAATGTAAATCCACCTATTCTGCCTTATAAGAGTTTAGCCCCAGCCATTCATGCTGAAGTAGGAGTGTTTCGGCCCCTATGTACTTATGTCTTTTTCATGACATCACATGCACGTGTGTCTTCAAAATTAGAATCGTTAAGACATGGACATGTCGGCGACCTCAAATGTGACATCAAATGTGACTCACTTGCTTTCTCTGTAGCCTACTATACATGATTGTCACGTGTCTTTCCAAAGATTCAATACCAGCACATATATATGCGCGTGTGTGCGTGTGTGTGTGTGTGTGTGTGTGTGTGTGTGTGTGTGTGTGTGTATATATATATATATATACACACACACACAGACATAGATAGAAGAAGCTCAAAAATGCATTCTGCAACTACACTATTTTTTACAACTGCAGTTTCAGACCAGCTCAATTTGGTGGAAAGACCACAAACCTGCCAACTCTGACAATCTACAGAATGTGTTTCTGCACTTTGACAAAACCACTCAAAAGTAAACATTAGGTTGACACAGCTGTAGAGTTAATAATTCCGAGCTCGTTTTCCTGATGAAGTGTTCGTAGCACAGAGAGGTGTTTGTATTTATGCGCTTTCTCCTGCTGCTACGTCTCTCGAGCAGTTTTGGTCTCAACACCTATTCGATTTATTTGGAGATGATTTCCCTGTTGGGGTCTCACACGCCAGAGATGATTTTTTTTGTATAAAACTATATATATATATATGAAGCGCTCCTGTGACCTACTTTACCCTGCGCTATCACACACACCTCATACCTGAACGAGCTACTGCTTTGCCCAAGGTCACAGCCAGGTGTCTGAGTTTAAGATGGACATCGGTAGTGCTGGATATTGTTAATATTTTTAAATACTAATACCTGTGTGTGTGTGTGTGTGTGTGTGTGTGTGTGTGTGTGTGAGAACAGACATGCTTATTGGCTCACTGTGGCTTATAGATATTGAAATCTGGTACCGAACGACAGAATTTGCTCAGGAAAATACTGTATTGTGGTATTGAAGTAATCCAGTCGGTACCACAAAAGTTTTGATACCCCACCATAGCCACTGCTCAGAGCAGCCAAGCGAAAATACAGCAAGTGCAGTGCAATGTTTCATAGGAAGATATCTCTCTTTTTCTTTCCCTTCCAACAAAGCGGCTGTGCACACTTGACTCTAAAGAAAAGCTCGCTTGACTTACAAACAGCATGTCAGCATTAAATATGTCAACGTTTTATGCTGAGATAGGTTCCTAAATGTTTTTTTGGCTTGGACAGAAGGTTCTAGGAAAAGTCTTTAACCCCTTTAATGGCCAGGGTCCACACTTCGATATCCTAAGAACAGCTCAGCCTTAGTATGTATATAATAAGCCTGAGATTTAGGGGTTGACTAACATAGAATCTATTGTGTGGAGGTTCTTTAAACTTCTTCTTCACACTCACACATCTCAATTACTTAAACCATTCTCCAAAAGGTCCTTTATGGAACCAGAAGTTGTTCTGC